CTTTTCTTCCTCATTTGGAAGAAAGTAAGTCGTTAGATTTCCCAAAAGTGAACAATGGAGGGATCCAGACACTCTCTTGGGACGCTCAGTGAAAACTTTCTATACCGACGGTTGAAAGACTGAAAACGGTACTGGAGCTGGATAGCATCTGGACGGTAACTTAAGATGCTTTACCGCTTTCATTAGGAGGTCTTTGCAATACTGAAAGTGCAGACTGGATAACTGATGAAAGTTAACGCGTACATAAAATCAGGATCTGCAGTGACAGCCAAGCTGCCCAGGGAACCGCTAGCACCTCTTGGAAGATAGTCCAGGAATGTGAGTTACGGCTGAACTCCGTTACAAGATGGAATGAGGGTGACACCACACACAAGGGATGCCAGGATACAACGGTGTTCAAGGTAACGAACTGGCGGATGAATTGGCAAACTGTGGTTCTATGGAGCGCCCAATTGCACCGGAGCCAATTTTAAGGCAAGCATCAAGGTTCTCATAAACAAAACTCATGAGAACCGTTGGTGCAATATTGACACCTGGTGTTTCCTGAAAAGGCCTGACGGGGTGGTAGCAAAATTTCTTATCACACAAAGGAGTGATCTGCGAGCCCTGATAGGACTGGTTATGGCGCACAATCCAGTGGGACGACATATGGTCACCCTAGGCATCATCGACGATCCACTATATATATCGTGTTTGGAGGAGGAGGATAGTTCGCCAGACTCAGACGGTACATTTTTGGGTCGGATGTACTGATAATGGACGAGGTACATTTTCTTCAACAAACTGCGAAAATTCATAGAGAAGTCTGGTAAGTTTGCAGAGGAGCAAGGAATTTCCGCCCCCAACTACATATCACTTTCCTCTAAATGCTGTCTCTTGGCCTTAAATACATATTGCGATATTGCCTGAGTGCTGGAAAAATCTGTTTTTGGTTTTTCCTGCAATTCTATTCCATTCCATTTCAAGACGCCAGGTCTTTCATAATTTTTTTATTAATTAAAACTAATTTGAAAGTCACGTGAATTAATCTCGGTGATAGATTTCGGGGACCGCGGGATCTGCGGTACAATTCTGAAAAACGACAGAATGGGCGGGTTTGGGATCTGAAAACTAAATTACGGTAGGAGCGGGATGGGCATTGAATATTTGCTACCGTTACCATCGCTAATTCCAAGTACCTGTTTTTGGGTTCGATACCAGCCGACCAGAACTACTTGCTCAGTATTATATTCCAATCGTACCTTAGTGTGGTGTCTCCGATAGTAAATTTTTTCTGACGGAAGAAAACTAACATTCTTACTTCCCTCTATATTTTTGGTATACAGCTAAGCGAGAGATTCACCTAGTATTGTGCTATGGATCCTGGGTCCGATTGGTCTATGCAGCCATTACAGGAGCCATGTGCACCGGTCTAACGGAGTCGCTCGGAATCATACCAGGTACATACACTCCACCTCTAGCCATACTAACTGAGGCTTTATGAAACGCTTTGAGACTTAGCAAAGTTAGTAGGAATAAGGAAAGGGAGACCTTCAAGGCCACTTATAGGCTTTAAATCATTTATTGACGATCCCGACATTAAGCCCACTGACAAATATGGGCACGGCCGACAGTCAGACAAACCTACGTCAAGGTTTGTAGACAACTGCAAAGCTGTTGATTTAATTATGCACGCGCAACAGGCGCATCCTTTGGTCCGGACCACCACATGACAGTTTTGATGGCAAAGAAAAGGTTCACGCTCGCGCAAAACCTGTGGCTCATCGGAGCCCAAACTTTTAACTGTCTCTAGAGGAATTTTGGACAACTTTTGAAACTTAGTCGAGAGGGTCTTAGGACTCTTACAGGCTACCTTACAGGATACTGTTAGTCAAGATACTAGGCATTATGCATAAAAAGTGAACTTAAGCTCCGACTAGATTCTCAGTACAAATTCTTGAACTAAAGCTCAATCCATCAGTGGAAAAGTTGAGTCTGAGCTTAAGCTAACTTTTTATGCATGAAGCCCACTGACTTGGAAATTTGTGACTTTCTGCACATATGGAATGCAGGCTTTGTGGGCTCGCGGAGGAAACCGCAGAGCGCATTTTCTTGATGGGATTATCCGCGTGCCATAGGTCAAAGACGGTTCGCGGCTCTGTCCTGAATCGGTTTAAAGAAGGTCTGCTTGTACGCTAATGAGGTTGTTCATATGCCGGACTAAGTCATGAAAGCGAAATTTACTTGACCGGATATAAATAAAATAAGCTCAAGTACCTACTTGGCGTGCCGTTCTCGTCGATATGCTTTGGGAATTGTAAGAAATATGAGACCAAATGACCTTTCTGCATCAAAACGAATTCATTTGACGAAGTTCAAAAATAACCGCGCAACGTGGCTTTGGGATTTGTAGAGGTAATACAAAAATTATAACTTTTGAGTTTTCCAAAAAAAAAAAAAAAATGTATTACCATGAGCAGCGCGAACTTCTTCTGCTCATCCTCCTCATATTTATTACCTCATTGTAACTCAAAAACATAATTGCTCAGCTGCAACAGCTACATCCAGTAAATACATTTTTGAAATTGCTTTGTCAGTTTTGTTACCGCGAACTTTTACCAATGCCTCGCTAACACCTCTGATCGGCTGGTTGCATTGGTTGGCTAGGCATGCATTAACGGCGGCCCTTCAGGTTTGAAATAAAATAATTTCGCCTGCATTTAATCGCGCTACTCAGCCTCATTGTATGACAACAGCACATCATAGGCCTACTGTGACCACACAGCATCGAATTCGTATGTATGTTTGTGTACATACAAGCATTCATTATTAATGAAACCACAAAGTCATAGTTACTATTGTTGCACTTGGGATTGACGTCCTACATAAATATGTAGTGTACTCGAAAAGCAGCTAACCTGACAATTGCATATTTACATACATACAAGCAAACATAAAACTGTTATATAGGCACAATTCTAATGAAATGAGTGCAGCACAACGATAAAGTAAAGTTGCACATGTTTGAAATCGAGCATACAGTATGTATGTGTGTGTGTGCCTTTGTGCATGCGGTTGATTTGTCATATGCGCCACAAAATGTGGCAAGTAGATGATTGCATTCCGTTCGAACTTAACCGCAAAAATAAATATTAAAATTCGAATACAGTTCTTATTGAGTTGCATGTAGCGCCAAGGACGTCGAAGAGCATCAGAGTGGTTAGGGCATACACAGAGAAGCCATAAAAATAGTACCGTTGTGACACCGTTGTGGCAGCCAACAATTGTTCGCATTAATTCACATTTTCTCATAATGTAAATGTTCGATACTGGCCTCTAGCAAAAAGAAAAAAGAAAAAAATTTTTCCCTTCCATTAGTTATGGTCGGCTGACTGTTGGTCTAGTTAATCGAGAAATTTTTGTAACAAGTACAAGTGTAAGCAAGTTTTGATATTGTATTTGCAAGTGATGCTGAATATACATATTTGTACATACCTAACCTCTGTTTAAGCGTAAAAAATTTCTTGCAACATTTAGCTCTTAAAAGTTCTGAGAACTTTGCCTTTTCTGCTCTTCCCTACTCTGTTTCCAAATAAGATTAAGTAAGTTCCAAACCCAAGTAGCTGAGTTGTTTGGCGGTTTGGCCGCTTATTTGGTCAGTCTTTACCTCACCTTGAATAACAAAGTAAATAGCAAAGGGGTGGACAACGAATGACCCATTGCTTAGCAAAAGTGCGGTTGTCTTTATAGCTGTAGATTTAGGCTGGAAAACGCGAAAATACGCGCGGAATTCAAGGGAAATTGCACACGGAATGGTCCAACGGAAATGGTTGGGGCTGAAACAAGTGCTTCTTGAGTGTATGTACATGGTATTAATTTAACAAAAACTGGCTAATAAAAGGTTAAAGAATAACACAAAAAGACCACTACAAGAATTAAAATAAAGGTTAGTACGTACATAGATAAAGAAAAGGATAAAGGGAAAGGTAAAGATAAAAACAAAAACAAAGTTGCGTAAAGATAAAGGCAAAAATGAAGACCAAGGTAAATTTAAACACTTTACTTATATAAGGGCAAAGGTGGAGGGGAATATGTACATATGTAGATAAAAAAAATTATAAACATAAAAGTAAAACCAAAAATAAATATAAAAAAATAGATGAGGATAAGGATACCGTTAAAAGTAAAGATGAAGATAGAGGAAGAAAGATTAAAATAAAAGTAATTATAGAGTAAAGGATATACATAGATAGAGAGACACAGAGACTCAGTCTGGGAACTATTTTGGAATTTTAGAGATTTTCGGAATTCTCCGGACTTATCGATATAACAATCGTTATTTTATATCGGTTTTGTTATCGATTTCGTTATCATAATTTTTATCGATATTGCTGTCGACTTTTCTATCGATATTTTCGGAACTTATCAATATAATAATCAATATTTTCATCGATTTTGTTTTCGATATTATTATCGATTTGGGCATCGATTTTAATATCAACATTTTTATCGATTTTGTTGTCGATATTTTTATCGACTTTCTTATCGATATTTTTATTGATTTATTTATAAAATATAGCGTTGGTTTATCTAATTTCGGTTGCAACCGGTCTTGTGCATTTAATTCTACTATAAATTCATTTTTATGGTGAAACGATGGAAAAGCCGTCAGCAATAAAAAATCTTTAAAAATCAACACGAACTACAACTACAGTTACATAACCGATGTACCTTCATACCCAAAATTTTTCTAAAAAATTCAGAAAGTTTAAAATTAAGCTGAAAATTTGTTGAATATTTTTAAGTTCTGTATAAAATTTGACTTACTTGGTTTTGCTTAAAGCATGCACCATAGTTTTAGAAGAAAACAAAAAAAAACTTGATCCCCCGCATATATGGAATAACTAGAGCTCTCACTTACTGTCAAAGTAACCAAGACATACACAGAAATTTTCATATGTGAAAGTAATCCGTTTTTATTTATTATCTAACATTTTAGAAAATTATCGTGGAATGAAAATTTTACTTAATTTTATATTTTTTTACAGACAGTGTTGTAAAATTCTGTCACAGATTTCGTTTGTGTGAAAGCTACGTTTCACTAAGCGTTTCCTCTCCATTCTAATTAGCCAGACTAGCCCGCAGCCTGTACAGCACAGCCAGTTACTGCAAATTGAAAAATTTCTCTAATCCTTCCCTATGATACACTTTAACATCCTTCATCAGCATGTTGGGTACAAAGAACACCTCCTCTTCAATCGGCCGATCGAAAGGATAACCCAAAGGCATGTCATCAATGTAACGTTTGCCCGAACCAATGCCGCTCGTGTATGAAGTGTAATCGTAGCTGGGGAAATGCTCATTCGTGCCCGTGTAGGGCGCAACGAAGAAGAAGAACTGCATTGGGAAGCCCTTTTCCCAACCCTGAGGCAGTAGAAGGCGATTGGGGAAACCAGAATGGGGCTGAGTAGCATTCAGTGCAAACTGTTGCTTACCCTCAATAGCCATCATCACTGACTTGTAGAGCTCGGTGTAAGTGGCGCGATCACCAATGGTCCAGTAGAGCTGCTGCGAATTACGCTGGATGGTGTTCTTGCCAGCGTTTAGCTGATAGATGAACTCATCGATTTCAATGAAATTCTCACGATTTTCTGCCAAGGAGAGAGTACGTCTGCTCTGATCGAATTTTGGGCCGAGGAAAGCGCGTATGACTACTTTTTGTGGCTTATCCGACTCGATGGTGTAATCGAAAGTGAATGGTTGATGATTGAGACGTTGTTGGCGCGCCATTAGAGACTTATCCCAAACAAACTGACCATCAACGAACATCATTTTATCGCTTAAAAGTGTGCTGACATCAAAATCGGTGAGATCGAAGTAGGTGGCCAATTCGCTGATTTCCACAGTGTCAATCTTAACGCCTGGCAGCAGTAATTCTTTCCTAGTGTAAGGCTTCAGGTACGAACTGAATTTGGAGATAACTTGGTAGAAACGTTTGTAGTAGCTGTAGGTGAAGGGATCGCGCAGCATTGTCTCGAAATTGACAAAGATATGCGGTACCAAGTGCTGCGCATCGATATCTGCATTCGCAAAGTATGTGTGTGAGAACACACGCCAGAATGTGTCGAAGCGTGAGTCGAATAAATCGGCATTACCTTCCAATAGATTGGCCATAACCTCAATGGCTTCCGGTTGGCGCAGATCGATGAGTGTGCCATTGTTGGTAGTCACATGACCTTGTTCCAGTTCCATGGTCACGCGCCTATAATAGCTCATGAATATGCTAAACTGGCCAAAATTACTGTATCTTTTATAATCGAAATCATTCTGGCGATAACCGAAATTGATGCCATTATAGCCGATGAGATGTGGATTGTAGCCTTGTTCGTAGGTGTCCTTACCCGAATACTCGGGCGTTTCACCAAGCTCTTGCGATAGTCGTTCCCATTGGTAGCGCGCAAGCATTGTTTGCAAATTATAAGCCCAGTATTCGCCACGACGCTCCTGCGCAAAGCCATACTTGGTGCTGTTCAAGAAATAGGCGTAATCTATGTTGGCATAGTACCAGTAAGCATTCAACTCCACATCCTCAGTGAAGTAGGATAATTTTGTGTGCTCATTGTAATATTCTATGTTGCGTGTGTAATCGGTGGGCATGTAGAACATGTGCGTATCCTTCAGCATATTCATGAATGTGACATCCTTGCGCAGCGGATAAGTTTCCATCTTAAACCATTGTGTACTCAATCCCAACAACTTCCACCACTGCCATGGCTTCCAGTCTTTGGTGCTCATTTTACTGTTGTCGTTCGCATCAAGATAGCCGCTGTACTCCTTATTCAACATAGCAAGCTTGTTCCACATATCGTAATCGAATTTTTTCGCCTCGATTATTAATTTGCTGTTGAAGAAGTGATGGGGCAAAATTTCATTGATTGTCGGCAGCATGAGACCTTCGAAATCGTCGCGGTGTATGACAGCCAGATGGAGTGCATACACAAACATACCCTCACTGACATGCATACGCGCCCAGCTAGCCACACGCATGAAAGTATCAAAGTCCTTGGCATAGTAGAAGTAGTTGAAGAGACCCCAAGCTTGGTAAATGTGCGACTTCACCATGGCGCCAAAGAACTCTCCTCTCGACAGAAGATAGCCAGCTTTGTGCGCTCGCTCAAACAACTCCATGGGGTGGTCATATTGCTGTGTGGAAAATAAAAATATGAGCATACTTTTCCCGACCATCTATACTACAAACTCACCGTGTAATCAGCCTTATCGAAGTGAAAGTCGTGTGCGTATTTTATATACTCCTCGAACAGCAGCGGGTTCTCTATGCGATAAACGATTTCGAGTAGAAACTTTTGTTTCTCCAAAAACGATTTGTCGGCATATTTGACTTGTCTGGTAGGTTCCAACACCTGTGCGGCTGCTAGTGCAAGTCCAACTATGGCTAAGAATACCAGCGACAGCTTCATCTTGATGCTGCTCGGGGAGACTGGTTGCTGTTAGGCTACCGCTTGTTTCTTTTATACAAGGCTCTCACCGGTGCAAACCAAAACAAAAAGTACAAGAAATTAGCACAAAATTGCAAATTTCATATTTTATTGTGCACTATTTGACCTGCATATACGCGACAAGCTATCTGCACAGCCAGCATAAACCATAAGAGATGATAAGCAATCAGGTATCAAGTCCAAGGTTATAGAGCTGATAAGAATTTGACAAACATAAATGCTGTCAGTTCAATTCATGTGAAAGTTTGTTTGCTTGTTTGATATTTATTTATTTTGGTTAGTTGTGTCTGGCAAATTCACAAAATCTTCATTAAAAACGATGTTTGAAATATGCACTTTTAATGTTTTATTGAGACGAAAAGGAAAAAAATAATAAAATGCCAGATCTTTCATTATTATTTTTATTATTTAAAATTAATTTGATTGGCGGGTTCGGGACTTAAAAAATTTAATTTTGGGATGGGCGGGATCGGGATTAAATATTTAGTCCCGTGCCCATCTCTAATACAAACCAAACTCAAGAAGACATGATGGTTGATTGATGATGATTGGTTCAAAAATATATAATTTTTTCAAACATATCCTTATTACTTTTTAACAGACTTCCAAAAAAGGAGGAGGTTATCAGTTCGTCGGAATATTTTTAAATTCATTTTTTTTATGTATGTTACCGCATAACTTTGGACCACGTCAACCGATTTCGAGTCCCATAATAATCTGGTTTAGATCCGATCATTGTATCATGAAATATATGTATATATTCTTTTCATATGAGAATTGAAGTCGGTTATTTTTTTTTGCTAAAAATTACTTGTTTTAAATAGTTGTTGTAAAACAAAAACTCTTCATAATTTTTAACCGCACAAGAGTGATGTTACTTTTGAAATCCTTGTGAAAAAATTTTCCAGACATTTAGGAATGGGTGTTTTTTTAGAAATTGCTGACATAATTTTACAGTCTAAATTCCTTTGGTTTCGTGCTGGCTTTGCTGCACAATGCCATTTTAATACATTTTTTGAAAGTATGCTAAATTAAATTATAATATTATTCTCGTAAATAAACTGGTTTTCCATAAAAAATTAATTAATAGTTACGAGGCATTTAAATGAATTGCCCTATTGTTTCATTATTCATCTCAAATCTTATTTTGCTTGCTATGCTTTTTAAATTGGGTTGCAAGTTTTAATTAGAAACTGATAAGAAGAAACAAATACGGCCTCTGACAAAGAGATCTATGAAAAAAACAAAGGTTATAAAATCACTTGATATACATAAATCTAATTTGACGAAAATAATTGGAAATTATCAGAGGCAATATTCAGAAGAAGGAAGCATAGACGTGCATACACATATTTGTAGTATCGCGTCTAGCACCTGGTGATGAATATATCTATGTGTGTTTCTTTCTTCTCAAGCAAAAAAGACGATATTTTCCCCGCTTCTTCATAATTAATTTCACCATTAATCAAAGGTTTTTTATTGAATGTTAGACTTAACTGAGCGTAAACACATTTTTGTAGAAAATTTTACATATAAGGGTGATCCTTATAATATTAACATCATGCGAAACCGATTTATTTAGTTTTTCGTACAAAATAAAGACGTCTACCGAAAATTAAAAAAAGAAAATTTAAATTAAATTAATTAATTAAAAAATTTGATTTCTTTATCGCAAAAATTCGAAAGAAATTTGGCTTTGATCAGTTATAACTCACCGAGTAAATGAATTTATATGAATAAGTTTCAATGATATGTCAAATTTATCGGATCTCAAGTAAAAATTTTGTCTAATTTTTGCGATAAAAAAAATAGGTTTTTTTCAAATCCTGGTAGCGATGCCTAAAATTTTTTTTAAAATTTAAAAAATTTTGTGTATGCCTTTATGCTGTACGTTTGAATGTAATTAAATAGTTTCGCAAAATTTTGTCTTAAAATTTTATTAGTTTGACATATTAGGTACCTACGTTGGTAGCAACCTTTATTTTTTTGTTTTTAATTTTGAACTTTTTGTGGATGACTTTATAGGAGTTTATAAATTTATATGAGTAAGTTGCAATAGTATGTGAAATTTATCAGAATTCAAGGAAGCAAAACAAAAGCAAAAACACACACACACACACACACACACACAGAAAAACTAAAACACTTAAAATCCGCAATAAAATGAAGAAAGTTTTTCGCTGTCGGCGGCAGAGTCGAGTAGTAGTAAAAATCAAGAAGCGCAACCAACGAAGCTCATTTGGCGAATGCAGCAGTTGTATATTGTTTGCAACACATGCCCCTTAGCTGACTGCTACTCAACTACTAACTGCCATAGATATTCTCCGCACAGGCCGTCACTGCAAATGCAACTGCCACTTTATCACAAACACTTTCCCTTGCTTACGCGAACTAACAAATGGATTTCGCAGCACTTTTCAATTGCAACGCTGCGATTTGTTTCCGTATGTCCAGCTGCTAGCTGCTAGCTGCTAGCTGCTGCCTAGGGTTAAATGATACAAGGCTACACCTTTGCTGATAACGCGGTAGAACCCTAGGCCAAGCCAGCTGGGGTTAGGGAGCATGGTTGACGATAACAACCGTAAGCAAGTGTGCGCACAAGAAAGTTGGTTTCATTAAATTTAATTGCATGTTGCGTTTGCGCGCGCGCTCTTACCGTGCAATAAATTCCTTGACCAACTGCCGCAGCCAGTGAGCCGCCAAGTAGGAGCGAGCTTCGAGTGTCTACTTGCGGAACAGCTGGTGGTTTAGTTGCTGTAGGTGTTGTTGTGTGTTTTTTTCTCATTTTCTTCTTCTTGTTATTCCACTGCTGTAAAGTTGCTGCATTGCTCGGTGGCACGTTTCTTTGTTGTCTTTGGCTGGGCTGAACTGGGCTGGCTAACTCGTTGACGCTACTAAAGTATTGTTATTTGTTGCCGGCAAACAATCAGCAGGTGCAGTGCAGCCGCCGCCAGTAAAGTGGTGCGGTTTTATTAGTTGCAAGTTATTGCAAGTTTACCAGTTGCTAGTGCTGTGCAAGTTACAAGTTTCTTGCGGCAATGTGCAAGGATGCAAAAAATTATGTTAATTTTCTTAAAGAAGAGTTGACGAATTTGATTTGGGGGCTGGTTGGTGTGCAATAGTTCGCGCCAGCTAGCATAAAGTTGTAGTTATGGTTTCCAATTTGGCAAAGAAAACTTATTTATAGTTTTGGAGCACTTCCAATATGTGGCACTAACGCAATTGTGGTGCAATGCAACCTATACGCAAGTTGGAAAAAAATAAACTTAATTTCAACTAAAATAGAAATTTTCTATATTAGTTGGGATACTATTCTAATGTTCGCATTCGGTTCATAAGAGCGCTTTTAACTTTTTCTCGATTAGGCTTCTGAAGAATTTGGATTCGAAGAAGGGTGCAGTACGTAGAAGACCAAAATCGCTTAGGCGGTTATAGAGGCAAAAGGTATGGCGGCTAAAATTAGAGGCCAGACGCAAGGCTTCTGGTAGAGTTTTACAGGGCAATTCTGGCAACAGTTTTTCAAGTCACCACAATCTTTCGAATTCTGGCAACTATCTTAAAAGCTCTTCACTGTCTTTCGAAAGACTAACTGAAAGACCTCCTCGTTACTTAGCGTTAGGCTGTTCGCCTTTTAGCAATAAGTTTTTAAAAATTAAATTAAATTTAAAAAATATATATACATTTCTTTTTAAAACAATAAATATTAATAATTGATAAAAGAAAATCAAACTAAAAAAAGAATAAATAAAAATATTTTCAAAATTAAATGAAGTAAAATTTTTACTCTTCTTAAAATAACAAACTTTAAGAATTAAACTAGAAAAAAAATAATCAAAAAGGAAGAAAACAGTAATTTAAACTTAAATAGATAGAAAAAAATATTATTTTTAAATTTAAAACAAAACCTAAAAACCAACAGAAAATTAAAAGAGAATAAAATTAACAAAAGTAAATGAAATTAAATTTAAAAAAAGTGTAAATAAGTAAAATAAGTTTCCAAAAATTAAATGAAATAGAAAAAAATATACTTATTTTTAAACAATAAAATCTAAAAACTAAAAAAAATATGTTTCTTTTTTAACAATGAATCTAAAAACGAAAAGAAAATTTACCCAAAAAGAGAAAAAATAAATAAAATAAATTCCCAAAAAATTAATGAAATGTAAAAAATATATGTTCTTTTAAAACAATAATGAAATTCACAAAAAAGTATTAAATAAACTAAGTTTCTAAAATTTAAATGAAATTATAAAAATATTTTTCTTGTGTAAATAATCAAAAAACTAAAAGAAAATTAAACTAATAAGAGAAAAAAAAAACAAAATGAAACAATAAAATAAGTTCCTAAAAATTAAATTTAATTTATAAAAATATTCCCCTTTTTTAAAGAATACCGTATAATAATTAAAAGAAAATGAAATTAAAGGAAAAAACTTGAAATAAAAAAAATACATAAAATAAGTTCCTGAAAATTAAATAAAATTAAAAAAATATATATTCTTATTATTTTTAAAGTAATAACATCTAAAATTGAAAAGAAATTTAAATTGAGAAAGAAATAGAAAAAGTGGATGAGAGTGCTTTTTCCTAAGACTTTTGTGTCAGAATAACAAAAGTCTTGCGAACGATCTTTCCATCTGTCTTACGAAAGACTTTTCGCTGCCTTAGCCAGAATTACACCTTTAGACTATACGTCCACTAGAACGTACCTTATCTGCAAAACGTACTGTCAACCAAGTAGGTCAACATAAGAGAAACTTGCTGACCTCTACCAGCTGTCGGTATTTTGGGCTAGACAGAGAGAAAAGCAGTATTTGCTTAAGACTTAGCTCTATCGCGACGAAATAAATCAGCCTCTTTTAGTCAGCATTTTTGTTAAGGTTAACGTGCTCAGACCTACAAAGGTATGCCGAACAGAATTTTCACACTCGGAACTCGAAAAAGGAATCCAATAAAATTTTAGAAATTCTTG